GACACACTCCTTCACACAGTCCCCACCACACACACACACACACACACACAAACACACACACACACACACACAGTCCTTCACATCCTCCCCTCAACAACACACTCCTTCACACAGTCCCCTCAACACACCCACACAGTCCCCCCAACACACACACCAGGGCTCCCTGCATCCACGTACTTCCTCACCGGGGATCTGCTGAGGCATCAGGAGCTGCTGCTCTCCTGCCCTCCCCTTACTCAGCCCACAGGGAAAGTGACCTGGATGCAGGAAGCCCTGATGTTGCTCCTTGCTCCCCTTTCCCAGCCCCCCAGGGCTGTGCTGGGCGGAGGAGCAGCAGTCCAGTGGGGGAGTGAGCAGCAATACCAGCTGCTTTGTGTATCCAGGTCAGATTTCCCACTTGGGTGCAGAAGGATACAAGGGTTAGGGGCTCAGAAAGGGGCAGGAGTTGAGGTGCGGGGGGCAGGAGTTGGGGTTCAGGGGGTATACACCATGCAGGGGTTCAGGGTGCAGGAGGGAGGTGCAGAGGGTACGAGTGAAGGGGGCACAGTTCAGGGATTAGGGGCACAGGAGGGGGCAGTTGTTGGGAGGGGCAGAAGGGGAGAGGCAGGAGGGGGCAGAAGTTAGGAGTGAAGGGTTGCAGGAGGGGGAGCAGGAATTTGGAAAGAAGGGGGCACAGTGCAGGGGCAAGGGGGAAGAGAGGGTGGGGAGCCTGGGGAGCCCATGGGGGACAGAGGGAATGGGGGGGTGCCATGCCCATGGGGGACAGAGGCACCAAAATGCAAGTTTGCCCAGGGTGCCATTTTCCCAAGGCCAGCCCTGTCCACATCCCATCCAAACACTCAGCAGGAAGGGAGGGAGCTCCAGCCAAGATGTCAATCATAATCTGTAGGAAGCCAGGAGTGAGATCTGCTGGGGACTATCCTAAGATCACAAAGTCTTTGTGGGGAATCTCAGCTGTTTCTCTCAGGCACTTACAGTTTCTGAGTTGGTTTAATGTTTCCTCACCTGTGCAGGGACTTCTCAAGATCTCGTTTTCCTCTGAACCCTGGAGATCCAGGATCCACGGCTCTTCCCCTCCTTCCAGCTGGGAGATCACATAGGATTTGGAAACTGGAAACCCTGCTCAAGGGAAAGAAAACAAGTGAGATCAGGTGAATTCATAGGCCATTTGTCATAAAAAAAATTATATTAATTTAACCCCAGTCCATTTTAAACCAATAAAATCGCAGGGCCAGCTCCCCAGGTGCTCAAAGGTGCAGAACACTCTGCTTATGAGGGATTTAACTATTCCCACCTTTGCTGGGAATACACACAGCCAGACACTCATTATCAAAGAGGCTCCTAAAACACAGAGAATGGAACTGCATGTCCCAGAAAGTGAAGACTCCAGACAGAGGGCAAGTCTCCCTGGCACTGCTTCTTGCTGACAGGGAGATCGAGAGACAATGAGAGGCCTGGGGAAGCTGGGAACAGTAAGCATGGGGTTCAGTGGAGTAAGGAACAGGAAGGGCAGGGCTATCACTGAATGCAGGATCTCAGCAGCATTAGATGTCAGGAAAGCACATACTGCGGCATTAGGGACTCTAGTGAGTCAGGTGTAAAGGGAGGTAGTATAAAAAACACTGTGTGTGAGGAAAGCTGGCAAATTAGATGGTATAGTTCAGGAACCACAGACAAATTCTTCTGCCAAAGGAGAATGTGAAAAGTAAGACTCAGGCCATGTGACTTCAGGAGGGACAGTTTTGAAGATCCAAAGAGCATGCAGGGAAGAGATTGCAGCTCTTGTAGGAGCGGATGGAAAAGGAAGCGTCTCCGTGGTTCATGGAGCCAATTAGTTCCTTTTATCATTCATTCATCATTCTTATGGTCATCTCATATGTTATTTCAAATGTAATCAATGTGTACTAAATAGATTTAAGTTTTAGGTATAGACAGAAGTAAGACAGGGAGAGCCCTGCATGGATACAAAATTTGTATCCGCATCCAATCTGCGATCTGCAAAAATGGTCCATGGATATTTGCAGATTTGCAGGGCTCTAGGTACAAAATTTATACCCGCAGCTGATCCACAAAAATGGTCCGCATTCTCCACCGGGAGACGTGATCAAAGCGAAGGGCTAAGGCAATGAATCGTAAAATCTTAAAATATAGGGCTGGAAGGGACCTCAAGAGGCCATCTACTCAATTCCCATAGCCCTGTGGCAGGATCAGGTATAAGTATGCCATAAGTTTGTCTGACCTGTTCTTAAAACCCTCCTGTGACAAGGATTCCACAACCTCTCTTTGTAATCTATTCCAGTACTTCCCTATCCTTATAGCTGGAAAGTTTTTTGTATTACCCACCCTCAACCTCCCTTGCAGCAGATCAAGCCAATTACTTCTCCTCCTACCTTCAGTGGACATGACGAACAGTTAATCACTGTCCTCTTATAACAACCCTTGACATATTTGAAGAGTGTTCTCAGGTCCCCCCTCACTCTTTTCTCAAGACTAAACATGCCCAGTTCTTTCAGACTTCCCTCCTAGGTCATGTTTGAGGACCAGCAGGTAGCTTTTTCCTTCTGAATGGAGATACGTAAGGTGAGGTCAGTAAAAAGGATGTTGGGTAACTGACACAGGAAAGGATGAAAAGAGCTCTAGTTGCACAGATGGATAGGAAAGGCCAGATGTTAGGGAAGTTACGGAAAAAGAAAATGCAAGGTGTAGGCACAGCCTGGATAGGAGGCCCCAGAGGGAGCTCCGTGACAAAGGTATTGCACCGTTATGGGCCTGAGTGACAGGCAGGACAATGGTGCTGTTTGCGATGGTAGAGAAAGAAGGTGCGGGGAGGGTTTGGGGAAAATATTAAGAGCTTTGTTTCAGCTATTGCTCTTTAGCTGATGGCTAGACATCAATTAGGAGATGAGAGAGAGAGATAGGCTGAGATTTCAGTTGGGACAGAAGAAGACAGATCAGGAACAGAGAGGTAGACTGTGAGTTAGGAGCACAGAGATGGTAGTTGAATGTATGTGTGCAGATGAGATTACCCAGAAATAAGGTGCAGAGGAAGAAAAGAAGGGGACCAAGGACAGAGCTCTGTGGAACCCAAACAGAAAGTTGGAATGGGGGTGAGCAGGATCATTCTAAGGACACTCTAATGCAGCGATTGGAGAAGGAGGAGGATGTGACTCATCATGGACCTCTTGATGCCACCTGGCAGAGGGCACAGGGTGCCTAATGTTTTACTGGGATCCCACAGACCAGGTACACACATATTAGTTCACCTAAAGATGGCACATCAGGTGTCTGTCGAGGAACTAGTTAGGTAGGTCTTAGGTAGCTCTTAAAAGCTTTGCCAGTCCAGCTCTGTTGTTTAATGCTGTGAAAAAGTGCACACACACATGCGCACACACGCACACCATCCAACATAGCTCTGCTGGCAAAAGCTCAATTATAGACACAGCTATAGTGGCAAAAACATCTGTTTTTTTAAAACAGGAAACTAAATGCTCATAAGCTACATTAATGCAGAGTTAAGGTTGCCCAGTGCTGCCTCCTGCCTTGCACTGTATAGACAGTGACTAAACTTAAACCTCTGCAAACCAGGAAATGAGAAGTTAATGTAAACACCACCCCTCCAATGCAACGTTAACTTTGCCCCCAACCCTTAACCTTGCAGCTGGCAAGAACCACTGATATTGGTTCTGTGTGGGCAGTGCAAAGGTTAACAAACTGCCACAGGAACTCAGGTATTCAGTTCAATGGAGCAGTAATGGGATGAATTCTCTGGTCTGTGTTATAAAGGACGTCAGAGTAGATGACCTAATAGTCACATCTGGACTTAAAATCTATGAACCTATAATCCATACAAGGAAAGACTAAGAGAATGTGCCATTGTTTGTGTTGTGTTCACAGATGGGAATCCCAGCATTTATCGGCATGCCCACCAGCTGTGTGCATTGTGCCAGCTGCAGCTGTAACTGGATGATGGAGGGATTGGTTGGAGCAGCTGGTCAGAGCTGTGACTGTGCTATGAAGAGAGGTACATGTGAAACTTGGGGGGGGCAATTCTGCCTCATTTCCGTGCTGAGTGTTGTAGGCTTTGTCAGCAAAGGTGCCCAAGGGTGTGTTCTTGCCATGGGGATTGTCAGCACTCTGATGGCGTATGTTCTAGTGATCTGTGAGGCTTAGTGAGGGGTAAGTGAAGGCAGTGACTCAAGAGGAAAACTCAGGTTGAGGGCAAAGGGGTGGTAACACTTTGCAAGTCTCAGATGGTTTGCGTGCAGGAGGTTCAGTACTGGAGTGCGGGCCAGGGGGAGGAAGCTTCTATTTGCTATGACAGATGAGCCTGAATATTATCTTAGCAAAGAGAAGTTGTTAGACTTTCTGCTGTACTGCTCTGTTCCCAGAGCGTTCTGTAATAGGGGAGGGGAGAGGGCTAGTGTGTGTATCATTCGCATGTCAGGATGATGCTGAAACAGGGCAGAGCAGAGGTGGCATTGTGGGGTGGCGTGAACCTTAACTCTGCATTTCCTCTTCTAAGAACTGAGAGGATGGGAATCCTTACCCAGCGAGGTCACATTCTCATAGTTCTCCTGCATGACATCTCTGTAGAGGACTCTCTGAGCGGGATCCAGCAGAGCCCATTCCCCCTTGGTGAAATACACAGCCACCTCCTCGAAGGTCACCAGCCCCTGAAAGAGCAAGAGTTCCCCACTTAGAACCTGCTGCCCCAGTCACAGCCCCACTATTCATGGGGGGAAATGAGCCAATCAAATGGATACTCTGAGACAGAGATAGTCAGCAGAGTCCTATCCCCATACTGTTGAGAGCAGCCAGGAGGCATCTGGGTGAGGGGAGAAAGAGTGAGCCCCTTGTGTCTCCCAGCTGATCCATTTCACACCTACTAGCAGAGGTTGATACAGGAGATGGAGCCCCCAGTAGGGTCCATGCAGAGTCCTATGGTAGGAATCCCAACACCGTCTCCACTGCCAGCAGCTGGATGTGAGGGGCTGGGATATCTTCCCTATGCCTTCCTACATCTTTCCATGTCACACCAGCCTCTGGCTAGGAGGTTGAGGGTTCAGCACTGGAAGTCTGGTCAGTTTTCCCAGCCCTGCCCAGAGGGTTGCTTTGTCTGTTTCCTGTTTCACAAATTAGGGAATTTTCTGTCCCAACACCCAAGCATTTGTTCTGAGGATCTAGGCCCACGTTAAACAAGTCCCAGCAGGTTTGTCACACTATGTCCCCCTCCTTTTTCTCACCCAGAGTATTTCCTGCTCCCTCAAGAGCTATCTCCCCAGAAGTTGCCACCTCTTCAGTATTTACTGCCCCTCTCCCTCCAGCAGGAACCAACCAGCAACCCCCCAATAGCCCCTACCTGAGCTGGTTCCACTGCAGCCATTTCTCTTCCCTGTCCGTTGGGCGGACGGGATGAGCTGGAGCGAGATGCATCATTCTGCAGCCTGGCAGGGCGAGAAGGGCAGTTGTGGAGGTTTCAGAACTGGCTTTAGTTCATTCCGCCAGGCTCTTTCCCTGCAGGCAGAGATTGCAGATTCTGCCATGCTGTGAACATGCTCAGTCCCCATAATGCAGCACAGACCTTGCCCCTGTCCCCCAGCAACCAGGGCTAAACCCACCAAGACATTTTCAAACCTCACAGGAACAGAGTGTGAATTAAACACTGGAAAAGACCAGAACCAAAGGAGCCTCTTTGGGGGGATTTCCCCTGACTCTGTTCCCAGGGCAGCTCACTCCTGCAGCAGGGGGAACACGGAGAGGTTTTTCCTCTCTCTGCTCCTCACCTTGTTCACAGGAAAGTGACCTTGTGCAGGGATGCTGCAGTGAGTGTGCCTGGGTGGGTCAGAGAGCCAGAAATCTGTCCCCACGTTCTATCTTCTCCTCACACCCTCTTCCATCTCTTCCTCCTCTTTCCTAGCACCCTACCTGCCTGGATGGGATATGTGGTCACCATCCCATTCTTGGGGGCTTTCTGTCACCCGTGGCTGTCCCCGTTCTGCACGTGCGGGGAAGGGGGTACCAGTCAGGAAGACCTGCTTTATCCACACAAGTTACTGGACACAACAGAGAACCAGTGGGAGCAGGTCAGACTCGCTGATAGAAGGATCCGTTCTGGCCTTAATGATGGCAGCAGCTCTGGGCGCCGCACACCCGGGGAGCAGAGATGGGGGGGGGCCACTGTGCAGAGTCAGTTACCTGCCCAGCCCCAAGGTCTCAGTCACCTGGACTCTCAGCTCGGGAGTTGCCATCAGCAGAGTCCAGGGCGGTTTCTAGCTGGAGAAGATCCCCCACGGCCGGGCATGGAGGGATTAATGACGGGTTCTCCCCAGCACAGACCCCGCTGGAGGAGCAGCAGCTGCTCAGCTCCCAGGTCACAACGGGGGCAGCAGCGTCTGGTCTCTCAGGAGCTGCCCAGGGTCTGATGCTCTCGGTTCTTTGTTCTCCCAGCTCCTGCCTCCTTCCTCCCGGCACCCACCGCTCCAGCCCCTTCTTGTGCCCTGCAAACCCCACCCGGGCTGCAGCGCTTGCTGGGCTGCCTGCAGTGGCTGGGACTCGCCCTCCAGGACAGCCCCGGGCTCTGCTGAGCCGGGCCCCCCAGGGGATGGAGATGGGGTGGGAGCGCTGGGGGCAGGCAGGGAAGTGACTCTGACAAGCGGCCCCTCCTCAGCCCATCTCTGCACCCCTGCGTCTGTGGCTCCCAGCGCTGCTGGCCTCATTGACACCCCCTGGCTCTGGCTCCCCTCAGAAGGGGCCGATCTAGCTCCAGGAGAGCACGTGCCCCCGGGGAATGGGAACGGGATCAAGCCAGATAGAGAAGGGAGCAGACCAGGAGTTCTCAGACCGGGGGTTACTGTCCCCAGTTACGTGGGGGGTCACAAGCCCACCCAGCTCTGCAGGCAGCAGCAGTGCAAAAGTGAGGGTAGCAATGGAGCACGAAGTCTGCTGTGAAAAGTGATATTGACAGATGTCTTCCACCCCCAGTATTAAACAGTAACTATTAAAAAAAATATTTTCTGCTTATAACAATAATTCAATTAAAGTGTGTTTTAGGCTTAATATAAAAGTAGCAAGAAAAGGTAAATTCATTTTTAAGAATAGATGAAAGAATAAATTAAGCATTTAAAATCAGGTTAAATACAAGAATTGTGTTTTGAATTCATAAGGGGGGGTCACACTCAGAGGCTTGCTTTGTGCAAGGGGTCACTGTCACGGACTCACAGATCATGCCCACTCTTGGCCCCATGCGGTCCGTGGGGGAACCCCCTTGAGTGGGACAGCCTTTCTCAGGGGTCCACTCTATCGCAGGGGTTAAGCCCAGAGGTGAGCTGGAGCTGGTTCCCATGAGGGAACTGGTTCTAAAAGAGCTTTTAAATTTAACAAACGCTCCAGCCTTCCCTTCCCCCAGCTCACCTCGCTCCGCCTCCACCCGCTCCCCTGAATGCTCCCTCCCGCTTCTCCTGTTCAGGCAGGATTCCTGGGAGGGCTGAGAAGGAAGCAGCGGCTTCCCACAGGTGAGCTGGGGTGGGGGCTCCAGGCGCCATGTGGCCTGGCCCGGCTCAGCTCCGGCCTGGCCTTGGCCCCGCGGTACGGCCCCGGCCCCAACTCCAACTCCGGTCAGGCGGCATGGCTCTTGCACGGCCCCGAATCCAGCCAGGCAGCGCGGCTACAGCCCCGGCCGAGCAGTGGGGCCCTGGCCCAGTGCCCCCAGTCTGGCCCCCACCTCCAAGCAGCGCAGTAAGGGAGCAGAGAGGGGGTGTTGGATAGAGGGCAGGGGAGTTCAGGGGGGTGGATTAGGGTCGGGGCGGCCAGAGGGCAGGGAACAGGGGGATAGAAATGGGGCAAGGGTTCTGGGGGGGCAGTCAGGAAGGAGCAGGGGTTGGATGGGGCAGTCGGGGGCAGTCAGGGATAGGGGTTCCAGGGGCAGACAGGGGACAGTGAGAAGGGGTGTTTGGATGGGGCAGGGGTCCCGGGGGGCATCAGGAATGAGAGGAGGGGTTGGATGGGGTGGCAGGGGGCAGTCAGGTGACAGCAAAGGGGGTTGGATGGGGCAGGAGTCCCGTGGGGTAGGGGAGGGAACCGGTTGTTAATATTTTGGAAGCTCATGACTGGTTAAGTCCCTCCACTTCCTGGAGCCACACTTCTCTGAGCCTTAGCACACCTGTTTCTTGCCCTGGGCCCCCTCAGGGAGTCCACTCGCTCTGGACTCCCAGGGCCTCCACTCCCAAAGGGAATAATGCAACCCTGTTCTCTAGACTGCAGTGACACTCAGCCAGCATAAAACCGAAGGGTTTATCGAGTGTTTGAACACAGCATAGGAAACTCGCCTGGCCTCCCTCAGCACAGCATATCCAAGTCTCCCCTGTATCTAGATGGGCTCTGCATGCTCTCCCTCTCCAGCCCAGAGCCCCCCTGCTTCCCAGCTGGGCATCTGATATCACCTCCCCCAAGCCCCGCCTCTGTCCATTGTCTTATCTCCAGGTAAAGAGGGTTGCCTGGGCCTCCTCTCTTCTGTCCTCTGGCCCCCTCTGGCTGGAAACGTCTGGTTAGGTCACCAGAGTCCTCTCTTTGCAACTCATTATCCTCCCACTGGCTAGAACCAGCTGCAACTCCTGAGCTGGGCCTCTGGGTCACCAGGTTACCACTCGGTGGGGTATCCATTCTCCAGGCCATTGGCTGGGGTCCCAAGTTCCCTCGCTGGTCCTCTGTAACAATAAACTTCCTCTCCCATCACCTCGTTAACCAGTAACACTCAGGGAAACTGAGTCCCAACCCCCTGCATGCAAACCATTGGAAAAAACAAGAAAATCCCCCACTTCGTCACATCCAGGAAATACCACACTGCTCTTCCACAAAAAGATGCCCTGCTGCAGAAGAAACCATGTGACTGGAGCCATAGCTAAGGCTACGATTTAATCCTGGGTATTTTTAGTAAAAGTCAAGGACAGCTCATGGGCAAGAAACAAAAAATCATGGCCCCCAACCTATAGCATAAATACCCCTGATTGAATCTTGGGGCGGGGGGGTGGAAGCCCAGGGGGCCCACAGCACCACCTGCTAGGTGGGGAGGGGGAAAGCCCCAAAGAGCCCACTGTGCCACTGGGGAGGGGGAAGCCCTAGGGACCCACTGCCACTCTGGCCACGGCTCGGGAGGGGGGAACCCTGTGGTGCCTGTGGGGTAGGGCTCTGCTCGGGGTTTATTCCTTTCTTTAATTGCTGTGGAAGTGTAAACAGTGAGATAATTTGCTCCTCTTTTCTATGCAGAACAAATAAAGGTAGACTGAATTATTTCCAGGGTTGAAAGTAATAAAACACCATCAAGCAGTGGATGGTTTTGATCCATCAACTTCTGGGTTATGGACCCAGTATGTTTCTGCTGCATGATGTGATACTTGCAGGATCTATTCATAGGGCAGCCGAGTTTGGCTGAATAGATTTTACTCCTGAGGGGTTTCTGCACCAAAAAATAAAATAAAATACAAATTCTGTGCACAATATTTTAAAATTCTACAAATTTTATTTGTCAATAAATAAATGTGGAGGCTCCAGCATGGCAGTGGGGAGCACAGGCTACTGGATGCATGGAGATGGGAGATCACCCTGCAGCCCCCTCCCCCAGAACATGAACTCAGTGGTGAGGCTGCATCTCTCTGCTGCCTACTCCAGGGTCCAAAAT